TAGCTGTCAAATTCATGTTCACCGATTTGACTCAAATTCTCATATTTGATTTATAGCATACTAAAACGTATATCTAAATTATAAAAAGTCTAAAATAAACAATTTATAATGCATGGGCTCGATACTATGTATCAGCATTTCGTGTGTATTGTAGTGTAGACGCCATCTAATTAACCATCGAGGAGACCTCCGAAGACTGCCGACGGTCATATAACCCGATACAAATATAAATAAAGATATAAATAGAATTGGATTTTTCTAGGTCTGTTTGATTTCATATTATAGGTTAAAAATATGTGTTAATAATCGTTTTTACCTGTATAAGAATGAGTTTTTGTGGATCGAATCAGTCAATCAAATAGTTTACCCTTGTTTCACTTTCAATATCGACATTCTTTTCCTTTTAATAACTGAACACGCCTAATGCATGCGTTACCCATCTCTAGCTAAGGGGTTAAATTGAAGGTTACATGAATACGGATTCAATGAGGTCGAATTATTCACTTGCAAGTGAATAATTCATCAGCGATATTTCTTAGCTTATTTTGACAAAATTGAACCAAACTAGCTGCTAAAAGCGAATTATTATTTCACTATTTCACTTTCGTTAATGATTGAAAAAAAAATCATATTTTCATTTTTTTTATATCTCGTAGCTAATGCTCCTTTAATGTGTAAGTGTAAAAATGAAGAGACAATCCTGAATCTAAGTTGTTTTCAAAAGTAAATTAATAATTTTATTTACATTACGTTTATCTAAATTTAAAAAAAATAAATGTGTATGGCAATTTTCCTCGACCATTGATGGTTTTCTACTGTGATGCCAAAATTCAAAAATTATTTATTCGTTTTTATACGCCCGTTTACGGGACACATTGTTCACCGTTGTCCGTCCGTCGTCAACATGTCGGACAATTACTCCAAAACGCTTTAACCAATTTGCATGAAACTTTGGTGAATTGTTTATATCTATTGACGTGAGTTCCATTTCGATTTTTATAAATTTTAGATATTACGTTTCCGAGTTTTGGGGTTTTATTCATTAAATAGAGGGGGGGGTCCAGTTATCGGTCAATAACTTAAAAAATGCTTAAAAAAGCAGTTTTCGTGAAACTTTGGTGAATTGTTTATATCTATTGACATAAGCTCCCTTTCGATTTTTATAAATTTTAGATTTACGTTTCCGAGTTATAGGATTTTATTCTTAAAAAGGGGAGATTTTCCAGTTTTCGGACAATAATTCAAAAGTGTTTCGAGCAGTTTTCATGAAACTTTGATGACTGTTGTATATTTATTAGAATAACCTCCCTTTAGTTTTTGATAAATTTTTGATATAAAATTGAGGAGTTAAGGAACTGTATTCTTTGAAAAAGCGACGGGCGTATTATGCGCTCAAGGCGCAGCTCGTTATTGAGTCTTATCAACATTCTTAATCCTATACCCCCTTCTATCAATTGTCTAAGGATTCAGACATTTTACATTTTTTGTAACTATTACCCTCTGTCCTTCAGGAAACGCCACAAACCAGCCCCTTCTGAAGTACCAACGACTCGTAATAGATCTAGCATTGAAACGAGCATATAATGGTGATTGTTATCATGATACAACCCCCGACATACATACAGGTATAAACGACATTGGGCTTGTGAAGAAATCAACACGTCAAATAGCAAATGAACCCAAAAAAAATTGACAAGGAATCATTTTCAACCAGGTACAAACTATAACTTTCCCGTAAAGAAATACGCTGGAAAGAACAGACTGTTTCAGAGAAATTGGCTGATTCGATATGATGGGCCTGTGTATTCCCCTTCAAAAGAAGAGTTTATTGTGTAACGGAAATCGGTCATAGTTCATTTATTTTGATGTGAAATACCAGTTGTCTTTTCCTATTTATTGTGTTTCTATATGTATATAAGTTTCTCCATAGTTGGAGCACCATCTGTTACTTAAAACACCCCTAAAGTTGGTATAGTCTTGATTTTCACCCCTTCAAGTATAATGGACCGTTCCAGATGGTAGTATATAAACCAGCTCAAGACAGAGAAACTTTGTCTACCGACCGTGCAAGGGCTGTATAGCCAGTCAAGGTCGTTAAAAACTTCCATTTGTTGAAACTTTGTCAGTTTTATGTGGACCGTTGAAGTGATAACATCAGGGATTATTTTCCAACTGGTAAGTAGAGTGAATTAAGTGATTCCAAAGGATATATATGAATAGTGTTCGAATTTATATGTGGATATTGCAATAGTGATTGTGATATAAAGTGAAACTTATATAAAAAGTTATTTGTATTAGTGAGAATACAAGGTGTATACTTGCTGGTGTTGCAAGTTGTACTCTGTGGAAGTGTGGATACTTCATAGATTTGTATTAGTGAGAATACAAGGTGTATACTTGCTGGTGTTGCAAGTTGTACTATGTGTAATATTGTGGAAGTGTATTAGTGAAAGTGCACTGTGTTAAACCTTACCAGTTTGGATAATATTCATTGTGTGGGAACTCAAAGGGATAGTTAGTGCGTGAGTTCAGCTGTGTTTATATATATATTCCTTGTGCATTGAAGGATTTGTGCATGTGTAATTGTGTCATTGTGTTATTGTGGTTAGTTGCAGACTAACAAGGTGATACTACATATTGGTGGACGTTGTAAATAGAAGTTGTATATATGTGATTTTGTGTTCATACGTTTTGTGTGATACTTACTTGATGCATGTTGCAAAGTAATCTGTTGGTGACATTGTGTAATAAAGGGCCGTATGCATGTTGCATAGTAATCTGTTAGTGACATTGTGAATAAATCGGTCTGATACATGTTGCATAGTGATTGCATAGTGACATTGTGTATATATATTCTGTTATGATACATTGTGAATGAGGTACTTCACCTTGCATTTTGATTTATGTGCATTGTGCTGTGTATATATTTTTCGTTGTAAATCCATTTATGGATGTGTTGATTGTTTTGAATAGGACAACTGGTTGTGGTGAAAAATTGAGTTGAACACTTGAAATCCTGATTTATTCAGATACGGATCCATTGATCGCTCGTTACACGTTACAATTGTATATGTTGTGCTCTATTTGGGGTTGACAATTTTGTAACCCTAGCATACAAACCATAAACTGATATGGCACATGTACACATGCTTGTACTAGACCTTGTTAAAAGAGCCACGCTGAGCCAAAAGCCAAAGTACAGCAATATTGAGAAAAAGACGGTCGATAAACAAACTTTTATTCATGCATTGATGCACGTGCATTATAAGGAAGTACACCACTAATTCATGGCCCTATTGCTTTCTATGTTAAATTCAACAATTTCAAGCAGGCACAGGTCTTTTGTTTAAAGTTCAAATAAAGTGACAATCATTGCATGTCAAAGCAACACTTTATGGTGCCTTTTAATCAACATACCTTTAATAGCATATAAGAAAGAACTGGTTCCCGGAACTTCAGATATACCAAAACAGGTACTTCAGATTTGACAAACAGGCAACATGTACCCTCTTTTTTAAATTTCATGCATTTTTTTTATTTTTCAAAATTATAAGTCAAAAAGTGTTCTACAATGATCACCAGTCATTCAGCTTTCATTTGATACCAAAATTACCTAAATATTCTACATATTTTGAAAGTTACACCCATGCGTATAGGAACTATTTTGTGTTAAATATGTACTACTTTCTGGTATGTTCTTTCTGGCCGGGCCCGAATTAGTGGTGTTACACCATAACTAACATTTAGATATTGATGTGATCGTTGACACGTTTGCACACAGCAATCCACGAAAAATGCAATTTTATTAGTCCCTTTTAACCATTTGCTGTAATTGTTATTATTTTCATGACATTAGTATCAATAAAACAAAATTGAATTTTTATAAGAGTTCGTAAGATTCAACTGAACCGTGAATTAACCGATTTGAAAAGCGTTGTCCACAAAGATAATTTTCAAGATCTTTCCATAAAACCACAACACCTGTAAAATGAATCAACAGGGAGACTTCATTCGTCACAACTTCATCAAAGATGGAAAGAAGCGGAGTCACCCGAGGTTAGCCGATTGATGGGGATTGGTACCATTTTTAGAAGCCAAAATTGCCGATTCATTTGAACTTTGGTGGATAGTTGTCTCATTGGCAATCATACCACATCTCCTTATTTTCATATAGAGGAAATAAGTCATTTTTATAATCACACATATAGGTTATCCAATGTACATGAGTACATCCGAGCCGTTGCTTACAAGTCTTGTGTCAGAACAAACTTTTGGTTTTACTTCAGTGTATAGGGATTTCTTTTAGATTTTATGATCTCGTTAAGTTAACTTATAACAGAACTGTGTTTTAACATTATTATGAAAAGTCTCTTATTAAGAACGTATCAGTGTATAGTGCTTTCATTATGGTTACGATGTCTGAGTTCGGAGGAATATGTTTTATTATGCAATCAAAAACTGTGTTTTAAAGTTATCATTAAAAGTCTCTTTTGAATAAAACTTTTTTTATACGATTTACCTGTATTTACCTGTATTATTGGCGCAAATGAAATGTTTAATTTGGCGCAAATGAAATATGGTTTGTGGCGCAAATGAAATGCCAATTGGCGCAAAAGCAAAGCACCGTAAAATATACGTGGACTTCAGAACCTTGCACAATGCTAAATATAAATATTAATATAAATTTAATGATATGGAATACTTGTTAGAAAATCTATATATTGTTTTTTTTTTTTTATTCATTGACAGAAGCAGGTAGTCAATAAGTATTAACTGGTAACATATGATCTACATTTATTGCCGTGATTACTTGGAGCTTAAACATTTTTTACACTTCAAGAAGGATTAGTTTTCTTACGGTTTGTTAGGAATAACTTTAATGATCAACAAAAAAGTTGTTTATACATATATTAACACAAAACTTAAATCTTTCAGATATTTCAAGCAAATTGATTAGAATTTATCCCAGTTTTGAACACCAGAAATTATTTATTATGAACAAAATGATAGTCTGCAGCTCGAAAAGGGGATAAAGTCGGAAAGGAAAATAAAAAAAAAAATTAAGTTAGCAAACAGTTTCAAACAATTGCCTTTCCAGTTGAAAAGAATGAAAAACGTTGAGACACAAAAAAATGTGCCCAGAAAAATTGACAGGAATATGAGACTTTTTCAATAACCATCTAAACATCGGAATTCTACAAAGGATAATTTCATTGATGACAGGTAAGAAAGAAGTACTCACCATTTCATTATTAATGTGTTGTGTGTTTTTTTTTTATATCGTATAGATGTAACGATGTTTTGAGTAAACTACAATTTAAGTTTCCTAATCGTGTGAAGCCAATCTAATTAATAACCAATTTCGAATCGCTCCTGTTTTGTGGTATATCATTAAATTTTATTAAATATGTAATTCACGACATGTGCCCATGGCTTAGCAGGAACAGAGTATTACCGATCCAGATTACATGAGTTCGACTAAGGGTTTTGGTTGGGTTGGTGTAGCACAGTTTTTAGTTGTCTATGTAGTGTTTTATGGTCGCTTATTTGTCTGTTGGTCAATGTTTTTCTTTTTGGTCACATTTTTGAGTGCCCCTTTGACGTCTTCGCCCCTTGTTTCTTACTCTTCTAACAATCTTGAATTTACAAATTTTACTGACAATTTTTGAACGGTATAGGAAATGAACAGTTTTGATTTTAATGAATGATTTATTGCACATGATATATACACCTTACAATATGTGAAAAGATGGTATAACAGTTTTCTTAACCGATTTAATCAGGATGATTTGTATATTTTTTGGGAGTATTTGACTAGTGCAGGAAAAACATAGTTCTGGAACCTCTGGATGATTTGTTTTGCATATGAAATCTGTTATATACTGCTAATTTTACGAACCTATAAACTGTTGTTATTAATTTTAGTTGTTATGTTCCTATGAACAAAAGTTGTATACAGTAACTGATACATATTATCATTGTTGTGTTCCTATGGTCTGCAGTTAAACTGAAATTAAGAGAACGGAATAAATGCGAGCATAAAAAAAAGTCATGCGCATTTTGTCATGTTTATTGCTTACTATACAGTATGGGTTTTTGCTCATTTTTGAAAGCCAAGTTTTTTTACATCTTCTCCATTTAGTCTGGTGGATAGTTGTCCCATTTGCAATCATACCATATCTCAAAAAAAAAATTATTCAATATCAACGCAGAAATCATTTTGTGGATTTAAAGTTTAGTTTAGCGCATAAACGTATGTCATAAAAACTATAAAATCCATCAGTTATTAGCTATCCTTTCAATTAATTACGCGGCAATCATAAATAACCAGATGCAAACTGTAGTGATAAACATGCAAATTTTCCTACTTCTATAAATTTTATTCCTGAAAAAAAGGTTGTAAAAACTTAACTCATATTTTCATATTCGTTATAAAAGACTATTAGTATTTTCTCGCGGTTCGAACAATATTACAGGAAATACTGTATTGTCGTTTCGCTGATCATAAATATTCATTAGGCCTAACAAATTCGACCAATTAGGAAGTCAGATTTTGTTTTAGAATACTTGGCTTTTTCATGGGCGCTTTACTCTCCAGTCGTCGTTCAACACAGTAAGCTCCTTTTTCTATAATTGCTATGTTATTATACTTTTTTGTATTTTACTCATATTTATGTGCTAAGTTAATAACACTGTGCGGGACAAATTTGCCTTTCCAGAATTGGTAAATCTGACTTTGTTGTTTTATAAGATAACAAAAATGTTTTTTGACCAAGCGAAAGATAATTAAGAAAAATCAGTGAAATTTTCCCATATGTCCCAACATGTCCCTGTCGTCACTACAGCTGATTAAAAGTACATTTCCCATGTGAAATTTAAGAAAATCCATGGAAATATTAGAAGTTCCCATGGGAGAAAGTATTTTCCCCAAAAGAATGTTAAAGTTCCCATGGGAACTACATTTTCCCATGGGAATATTTTTAAATTGTTTGTTCCCATGGGAAATTCTAAATAGAATTTCCCAAGGGAACTAATTTTTCTTCCCATGGGATCATTTATTTTTCCTTTATGATTTTTTCGGAATTTGTAAAAGAGCTTTATAGTAACGTAACAAAATGACGTGTACTAATAACCGGGAGAAGTTTATAACATTATAATTTTGATAAAAAAGGCAATTATACTAAATTAAAGGTATTTGTATCATACTTGTACATTCAAAAGTATTTTACTGTGAATAAATGATTGATAGAGATACATTGATTGTATTGGTTACTATTTAACATCTAGCGGCAAGTATTACATATCGATCACCACTTAGATGTTCAACTGATCTAACAGAAAATTAAAGTTGGATTCAGTGAAGACATTATTGTGATTCAAGCCAAATTAACCTATGTTCCAACTTTACTCATTTTAAATACTTCGTGATTGTGAAAAAGAAGAAAATATCTATCTCGATTGAGCATGTTGGGTTTTTGAGCAAAAATCCTACCAAACTCGGGGAGAGCAAGCTCACGAGACTACCATTGCTAAATGTTAGGAATATCATGGAAGTAAAATGAAATGGAGTTATGAAGAAAATCAGTCGAATTCATAAATCAAAACATGTATGCTGCTGTTTTCCAAAAACATAATTTGAATGTTGAATTCAAGGAATGCTCTGATTTTACATACTATTTTTTTCTCTTTTGCTTTCGATTGATATCATCTTGCATTTAATGTAATATTGTTCGCTGAACGGCCAACGATCAGAGCCAAGCCTGTGTATTTCGGAATGTACTTTACAGATACAAACAGATAAATCTGTATAAATTTATGTACATGGAAAATCATGAATCGTATTTAAGGTTGTTTTCTAGCTATAATCCTTGAATTTATGAAACTGACATGATAATTAATATTGATTTAATTATTCTTTTTCATCTACGTAACTCGATATGCGTGTCTTTCGCCACTTTATTTAGAAAGAGGTTCACTGAATTTGTCTACAAACAAAATATTTCTTGAGTCGAGAAAATCAATAATAAAACAATGCCGGTGACGACACTGATCAAAAAATATTTCTAAATAACAATTGTACATTTTAAAGAAATTATTTGTTTAACTGTGTTATTAGAAATACACATGCAAATACACGATGTTTTATGTTTAGTATTTATCGAGATAATTGCATTAGAAGCTTGTGAAACTGAAATCTAAAAAAATGCCAATCTTTGCTGCATATTGATAAAAAAAAAATGGAAAAAATCATGTACATACAAAATCTAAAGATCTTTCGGGTCACCAATTTTTGGAGTATTCCACATAACCCTAAGCATGTTACAATTTCCCAAAATATACTTATTTTTCACATTCTAAGTTTTCGAGTACACCGGTCTGCTCTTGTCACATGAAAATTCAATATAGAAATATTGTGTTTTCATGAATTTAACAATATAAAAGTCTGTCTGTGCAGGTTAAGAAATTAAAGATAGATATTCTTATAAAGTAGGCATCTTTTAAGAAAAGATCGTCTCGATTTTTGTACATGTATTTGCGGTCTTCTCGATCTATTCACATTCAATGTTTACATCGGTATAAGGTCCGTTTGAATTTGTTTAGTAACTTAATTTCAAAAGTGCCAATCTTTGCTGCATATCAATCGATTCCTTTGGAATTTTTTCTCTGACTTTCTCTGATCTAGCTGCATACTAGTATATATGTTCCAGAGAGGTATACAGCCAGTAAAAAAATATATTGAAGTTGGAACTTAATGAATTTATTCGCATAGCAACATTTTAAACCAATTTTACAACAAGCTCCTTTAGTTTGTTGAACTCGTCGTTTTCTATTTAAGGAGGGAAATGGTAACATTAAATGGAAGTTTTGTTTTTATTTCAACTTATTTCTATTTTTATTATTTACCAGAACGTTTTCCCGTGAATTTATAATTGATAGCGTCTTTGCTAAAATGGGACAAACATTGAAAAGATCTAGTTTTCAGTGTTTACAGGGGAGGTAATATTTTGTCACTAGATTTCCCACTGAAGTACGGGTGTGAATTAAGGATTAAATATTTTATGGAAAACTTATTTCCCTGGATGGTAGAACAAATATATAATATACACTTATATTTTACCCGTAGGCTGTCTTCAGGTTGTCTTTTGAAAATTTGCAGTTTATAGGAGCATAATTCGTCTTTTGCAACTAGATCAAAGACTTAAATGATTTTTTTTGCGATTGCATATACAGGTTAAAGAACTATTGGATTTTTTAATTTAAAATTATTGATGGTGGTTTTTAGTACGGATATATAACTATTCCAAATTTTTCCGATTTGCAAATTTTATTGAACTTGGTGGTTTGTTCTGCACTATGGGTAGGTGAAAATTTTATTATAAAGCTCTGCCACATCTTTAAATATGACGATCCAAGGAATTACATGTCGATGTATAAAATTTCTTTTGTAAAATCGCCAGTGCAATTTAATTATATATGCCTACTTATGGTCAATTTATTTTGTCATCTTACCATGTAAAGAAGTACATGTAGTAAAACACCACTTTATATCATATACTTACACCAGCAGCTACCATCTTTTCATTCTGGAGTCAAGGGCTTTTTGAAATCACATATTTCACTATGATACTTGTGAGTTACAAAACATAATTATTAAAACTTAGCTGGGACTATTATACTCCAGAACTTAGTTAATGAACACCTGGGATACAATTAGTCTGCCAAAATATACTATAAATAGACCAATTAAAGGGACATTAGCTACGAGATGTAAAAAAAAAAATAAAATATGATTTTTTTTTGTTCAATCATCAATGAAAGTGAAACCGTGAAATAATAATTCGCTTTTAGCAGCCAGTTTGGTTCAATTTTGTCAAAATAAGCTAAGAAACATCGCTAATAAATTATTCACTTGCAAGTGAATAATTCGACCTCATTGAATCCGTCACGTGACCTTCAATTCAACCCATTAGCTAGAGATGGGTTACGCATGAATTAGGCGTGTTTACTTATTAAAAGGACAAGAATGTCAACATTGAAAGTGAAACAAGGGTAAATCATATAATTGATTGATTCGATCCACAAAAACTCATTCTTATACAGGTAAAAACGATGATTAACATATAATTTTAACCTATAAAATAAAATCAAACAGACCTAGAAAAAATCCAATTGCACGAGTTCGCTATCTATTTATATCTATATTTATGTTCATATCGGGTAAT